AAATCATGAGATATTATTTTTAACATTGTGATAGTAGAATCTTAAATGTATTATTAATTTTCCAGTTTTATCTATCGATTAAAAATATCATTGTAATGTATATTTAAATACATAATTTCATTTTGTAATTATTAGTCTATATAATATTATTGTCATCTATCAAAATACATTCCAATCATATCCATTGTCTTTAATTTTTTTTTAATCTATGTAGTGTTTGTATATGTAATATATGTATATATTGATGGTCAATTAGACGCTAAAGAATTCCAAAATTTCCATAGTAGATTTTAGGGATGACGATCAGTTGGACCAATTTTTTTTTTTTTGTCAAAATCAGTTGGACCAATGCATGTTTTGATGTTATTTTTTCCAATATTTTCATGAGCTTCGAAACAGATCCATGAACAAACATTGAGCAAATCATTTCTTAATATCTTTATCGATGTAAGAAGCTTGCTGATGTGGCTCCCTCTAAGATTTTTGTGTTTTTGTTGATATGGACACATTGTTTTTGCTAGGTGAGCTCGCAGTTGTTTGTTATTAACATTTAAAAAAAAAGGTGCAATAGTTATGTTTTATTTTGGCTCTGTGTTATTTACATGAAAAGTATCACCAATTACTTCTTATTTTGCCGTCATGTTACCACCAACTACTATAAGAGACAGTAATACTATCGTTTTTTTTTTGGCTCAACATCAACTTTCATTCACCAGTCATAATACACTTGGTTTATCCACCATTACAAACTGCTTAATCCAATTTGGCATTATCTAGTACAACTTAGGATCATAATTCGTATAAGCAAGAGATTCCTTCGCTACTCGATCCGCCACTCCGTTACTTCCCCTTGATGAAAAAATAACTTTAGCCTCTTGAAACTGAAGGAGCAAAGACTGAATGTCTTGGATCGTTGGGGCAAAAGCTGGCCAATACTCACCATTATTAATCAGATTGACTATCTGTAATGAGTGATTCAAAGATAATCTTCCGGTAGTTAAATCTGGTCATTCTAAGAATTGCCCATCTCATTGCTTCCAACTCCACTTCTAGTGCAAAACTGTTCATCCTTCTCTCGGAGAACCCAACCTGTTCCGCTTTGAAAACCATCTACTTGCCTAGCTCCATCTAAATTACACTTAACCCAATCTCTAAGTGGAGGAATCCATTTCTCACAGCTTATTCTCGTCCCAGGTTGACTGCTCCTTTGCTCCGCTTGCTCATTCCTATTGGACCATTCATTTGCATCCTCAAGAGCCTTCCTCACTGTATCATGTGCATTGAAATCCTTCCCTTTGAAGATTAGATCATTCCTGGATTTCCAGAGTCTCCAAAGCAGCCAAGGCACTTTAAGAGACACTATCTTATGTGAGCAAAATTTATAGACAAACCAAACCATACTTCACTTTAGTTACGATAATCTTGATACCTAGGTAATTCGCAGTCTATGATAGCATTTTTATACCATGAAAGCCCAAAAAAAGTGAGAGTAGATAAAAACTTATAATAGCTAGAAATCATGTATATATAGAAATCAAGATGCCAATGAGATGAATGACTTCAAAATCCAAGCAAACTATATAACCATTGATAAACACTATACCTGCAAGAATATCAAGAAGTGTTAAGAGTATTGATCTGCTATAATCATGAACAACAAATTTAAAGGGGGCAGTGGTCATTCTGATCTAAACCCAAAAGCCACTGTGAATTAGTTCCATACACATAAATTTATTTTCTATCGAAATTCCAAATGAAGTGGCACATGCTTGGTTTATTAGAAGAATATGCTTGACAACGTAGGAATTCCCAAAAATAACAACTCATATCCAAATTAAAGATCACAAATGAAAAGGAACTAATTAAGTTCTACCAAAGAGAAGTGATTGACAATCAACAAATAGTGGTGGCGGAGGAAACACTGTGAAGGCACTGAATGAACTAAGCTTTTTAGACACCAAAAGTAGGTAAAGAAGAGAATTAGTTGTCTTTTTAATAAAGAAAATAGCTTAGTCAAAAGAGAGCTTTATGAAGAAGATACAATAAACTTTTCCACAATCTAAACTCTATAGAAGAGTACATACTTAACTCCTTTGCGTTTTTTTTTTGAGTTTGGTTTTAAAATCCTTAGCTTTTTAACTATAAAGAGCGGATTTTGGCTTGTGTTGGCTTGTGCTTTGGTTTGTGGATCTGCTAACTAGGTGGATGGAGGAGCTAGTAAGGCCATAGGATTGTTTAGCGCGGATTTGTATTGCTGGCATTTAGCTCTGTGCTAGCCGACCTCGGGAGTGAGCTTGGTAGAGTGATCTTGCACTTTATTCTCCTTTGGTTCGTGAGGTTCCGCTCTGAGAGAGCTCATGGAAAGTGCAAAGAGCTACTCTCACTTGACGCGAGAGGAGTTGGTGATTGAGTGCTTTGCGTTATACGCCGTTGACGGATCAGTTTTCTCGGGCTTCCGTTGAAAGGCTTCCATTCACTAGGTTTTAGTTGAATCGGTCTTTGCCGTTTGGTAACTCGTTTCTTGTTCCTTAAGGTGTCTTTTAAGATAATATTTGGAATTGTTTATCACTTCATTGACTCCGAAAGAGTAATTTCTTTTGTTGACGTCGATGGACTGATTGTTCTTTGCTTCCATGTTTTTTTATCCTTTTTTGCCATGGGACCAAAATTGTAGGATTTACTTAATTGTATCTCCTAAACCTTTTTCATTTTTCAATGATATATTTACATTCTTAGCAAAAAAAAAAAAAAAAAACTATAAAGAACATAAATATAGTTACTCACCAGTAGAAAGCTTGATGTGCTGATGTAATGAAGAAGAAAGGATCTCTTCTCTCCTTCAAAAAAGTGACGAACATGTTGAAAGTCGGAGAGAAATGAACCTAGTCGGAGATAGATTCTCATATTTAAAATGTTAAATAGGCTGACATGGAGAGACTACCACCAGGATTCTTAAATCCTAAAGTATGTCCTGAAATAGATCTACTCTTACGTAATACAAAACCTAAGAAGAGACATATTTCTCGCAAAACTTAAGACAGTTGTTAGGATGTAGATACTTACCTTGTATTAGAATGTCCCACATTGCTTGGGATTAAGATCTTTGGGTAGTATATAAAGGATGTGGCAATCCTAACTCTTGAGCTAGCTTTTGGGTTAAGTTAGGCCACATTCCTAATATGGTATCAGAGCCCAAGGTTGGCCCAACAAGCAAATTCCCACAAAAATGGTTTCTCACCTATGTGGCCCATATAAGTGGCATATCTTGTTGTATTTCCGAGATGTTGGGCTTGGGCTGTTTCCCGTTGGACCTATTCCCACGCACATCTCGAGGATGCCTATTAGAATATCCCACATTGCTTGGGATTAAGATCTTTGGGCAATATATATAGGATATGGCAATCCTTAACTCTTAAGCTAGCTTTTAGGTTAAGTTAGGCCACATTCCTAATACCTTGCTAAAATATCTAGATATATTGAAAATAATGAGACGATTTCCACCGAGGAGACCTGAAATCAAGACGTACACCATCACATAGGGTAAACAAACAGTCCCACCGGAAAAAATATTTCTACGGAACTGATTTATATACTCTTTGGCTTAGCCGGCACCTGAGAATCGAGTAAGAGTTAAGGGATAGATGCTATATGTCATGTGGCACTTGGGACCTCTAATCGAGCAAGAGTTAAATCATGGGATCAATCTACTCGGAGACAGATTGAGAGAAAGAAGTGGAGCTAAAATGATGTTTATCGAGAAGAGAGATTTAAAGAGGAAGAAGGGAGTATGACATAATTTATGGCGTAACTGATGTTGTATCGACTTACGAAGTAGTGGGGGGAATCGGAAGAGATTTCTCAAGTTTACGAAACCAAATAATCTTGTTAGCCTAGATTAAGCTTTTGTGTGTATTCCTAGTGATTTAATTAATTGCAAATTGTGATTCGATAAACAATTGAGTAAGATACTAGATCAATTTGGCGCTGTTGTCGGGAAATAAATTATTGCGAACGGAAGTTGTTGATGATTAGATGATTAGTGAGGTGATTAATGCCACGGAAGTGGATTAGTCATATTTGTGAGTTTCATGTTCTAGGATGGTGCTTAATTAAATCTCTTGCATCATTATTTGATTGTTAACCCATTTTCTTGATAGTTAAACTCATGGTCCAATGCTTTCTTTTTATTTTACTTCTTGCATTTCTTATTTGTTCATCAAAAAAAAAACATAAAAATCATTTCCTCTAGATTAGTTTGAATCTCGCATCTCTAGTGTTGCAATCTTTATTTTTTGTGGTTCGACATCTAAAATACTTCCACGATAGATCGTTGATGCATTTAGATTATTAATTGATAAAAACGCATAGATCACGTACTATGTTGATTTACATTCCCCGCTCCGTTAAAGGGATGAAAGTTCTGGTATCCTGAGACCTGAAGATTTTCGTTGAGTTATGTTCTCGAACAACGATGGAGCTGTTTGTTCTGTATCGACGTCCACATGTGTATGCTTCAAGGGTTCCTGGTGGTGCGGGAAGAGGAAGTCAACAAGTGTATGCTGCAAGGGTTCCTGGTGCTGCAGGAAGAGGAAAAGCGAGAAAGCTAGTTGGTGGAGTTTCCAAAGAACCAAAGGGTCTCTATGCAAGAGATATGGAAAGTTCATATGACAAACATTATTAAGTACATATGCTCTCAACCTGAAAGAGGGCATTTTCGGTCTCTTTTCTTGCCCAAACACCTTTTCTGCTTTAATAGCAGCTATTTCCTCTGATAGCTTGTGTAACAACCTCTGCAACACGTCTCTCTGTGTCACAACACTTTAACAGACTCCATCTATTTTTCAAGGTAGAAAAAAATTTCTACAACAATGTTTTATTGTAAGATTAAATCATAATACTATAATTAGTAACTATTAAAATTCGATATGATGTTTTCTTGTAGGATTGAATCATAATACTAATTAGAAACTATTAAAATTGAACCTACATATGAATGACATAATTGTCTTTTTATTATCTGAAAAGTGAAAATAGGTTAAAGATACATAATGGAACACAAACAAACAACCAGCGGAGAATAATACAGATTCATATATAAAAGCAACAAAACCAAACTTTGAGTCTTTGACAAAGGATTGTTTATTCGATTGAAGGTAGCTGTGGATGGTCACTTAGTGATGGGAACGACATGAACCCCAATCTGATGAAGCATAGTACTGGATTTTCCATGGAACCCAGTGATCTTGTGACCTTCCTTCTGGAGGACGAAGTTGACACCAGCTTCAAGTCCAAAGGGATGAGAGGTGCGATTGTTTGTCTTGAACCTAAGCATCGTTATAACTCCAGTTTCAGCTCCCATAATCCTGTCGTGGCAACCCTCCACTGAAATGATGTATTCACTCGGATAATCCAGCTTGAACTATGAATTGCAAGAGATTGTTGTCAGGATCTCACGTTGAGAAGTGTAAAATAATAATTGAACTTAATTTTTTTTAGATTAGAAAAAAATAAATCAAGAAATTTATCGATATAATGGTATAGTTAAAAAATAAACAAGTGAATTAAGGAGAAATCATCTCATACATCTTCATATCCAAGCAATGTCGTCTTTCCATGTTCATCTCCAAAAACCACCTCACTAGCATCGTTCTCATACTCAAACTTAACGGCGACAATACCGTTCGAGCCTTGTCCTACGTATACCTTCTTCACATTTAGGAAAGCACCATCGTCCCAAGAGTCTCCTCCGTCACCACCTTGTCCCTCTAGTTTCTCTGTAGGTAGAGGAGAAGGAAAAAACGGAGCGTAATATGCCCCAATACTATCAACACAAGAACCTACCCGTCCATGGAACCCAACAATAGCATTTCCTTCGCTCTGCAGCGAGAACTTGGTACCAGTCACTGTTCCAATTACTAAGGTTCTCCCATTTGATGTTTTGAAAGTTAACGACCTAAGGACAATACATCCATAAGGGTTGGTAAATGCGTAGCTTCCTTCTACGGATGTGATACATTCATATGGATAATTCACCGTAATCTGAAACATTTTTATTAGTTTTCCACATATTTAAACAAATTAACATATCAATAGTAAGAAATTATTTAACAAGAGCTATGGAAATTAGAATAACCTTATCTTCTGTTCCGTTCTTGTCCCCGTACTCATAGCATTCCACTTGACCAGCTTTGTCATAGTCCACCATCATATTCACCACCATCATCGTAACCTTTGCCTGTGGTTTGACCACCTTGCATTGCCGATTTGGTTGCAGGAATCCTGATGAAATATGCTCCAAGAGAGTAGACCTTCTTGTCAGCAAATCCATGAAACCCAATGATCTTTCTCCTCGTGGTTCCTAGTGAAAACTTAGTACCCTTGTTGAACCCCATCAAATCAGAAGTCTGCTCGTTTGTTTTGAATTGGATTGATTGGATCACTCCCGTAGATTTGTCGTAGTAACCCTCAACAGATACCAGATATTCCTTTTGCAGGTTAATCTCAAACTGCCAAAGAAAAATACAAAAAATATTATGATTTATATAGACTTTTTTTTAGCCTAGATCTCAATCTCCCTTTGGAAATACCAGTCATGACAAGTGAGATCGAACTAGGACACAATGGAACCAACTTCAAGTGATAACTACTAGACGGCCACATTCTTGGTTAAGATATATAAAGTTGACACATTACATACCGTTTGTGTCATACCAAGACCAGAGACACCATGGATTGGTCCAACAATAGTTTTTCCAGCCTTGACATATTCAAACTTGATGAACTGAATGCCATCATAACCGGCTCGTACATGAATCTTTGTTACACCCTCATAGTTGAATCCATCATCCCATTCCTTCCCTCCATTTCCACCTTGAGCTTTCACCATTAGGGCCATCTCGCAGCGATTCGAATCTAGAGATATTGTTTCTTAGTCAATAATTAATTTGACTCATTACCCACTTGAGAAAAAAAGCTCATAATCATTTGCAGAAACAAAGTAAGCATATGTTACTTGGGTTAAAAGTAAACAGAATTTACTACAATGTATATGTTATAACCATTACCTCTTAGATGCGATAGAGAGATAAAGAGAGCTGATGAACCAATGTAGCAATGGGTTGATGATGTATAAGCAGATAGTGAAGGTGCCCTTTTATACACATTTTTATATTTATTTTCATCAACTAGCAATGAACTTTAATACTTATTAATATGACTTGTCCAAAACGAGGAATATACAATAATAATTATCCTAATAAACTTACTGTATTAATTTTCTTGTTTCCTCGTGGTAGACGAAGCCATAATATTTTATTTTTCGATGTCATAAATTATTAACTTATTATTTTCTTGTTTCCTCGTGGTACACGATGCCATAAACTTTTCTATTGTCTCACGCTAGTAACATGCACGCGGGAAAGTTTTTTTTAGCACTATTATAAGACCACCATTATCCACAGGCTCTTAAGACAACTCTTAACTTAAAAGATATGTCTTATAACTAATATAAGACATATTTCTTAAGTTAAGAGTTATCTTAAGAGTCTATTGATAATAGTGCTTTAAACATTTTTCACTACAAGGAAAAGCAGAGTTATTTCAGACGGATTTATTTTTTTATAAAAAATTCTTATTTACAAATTTTTTTCCAAAATACTATTTTCATTATAAATTGGTTGGAAATGAAGATAAATTATAATTTATAGCTGTTACCAAAATACTATTTCCATAGGAGTTCCCATCTAAGAGTTATATCGTCTAATCCGTTCATTCACCGCTAGTTATAATCAAATTCGTGATCAATCCGTTTCGAAAAAGTGAAGATAAATTATACTATATAGCTAATGTGTATGATTATAAGAAATGTATATGATTATGACAATAATTTAATAAATAATAGAGTTTTAAGGTTATGTTTTTAATTGATAATTGTGACCATATGAAAAGATTTGTTAGTAATAACTTTTGACCATTTGAGACTAATTCATCGTAGTGAGTGGTGGAATTGGAGCATTATGATAGTCACAAAATACCACAATTTTGATTAATTGTTACTATAAGCGACAAATTTTAGATATCACTTGTGACTATTTGAGACTGTAGTTATGTAATACTCCCTCTGTTTTTTTTTAAGTTGTCGTTTTAAGTGTATTTGGACAAATTAAGAAAAGGTATACAATGACTATATAAACCTCATAAAAATGACAAGTAATTATTTACAAATAATTTGTGTTCAATAAAATGAGGGTAATTTGGGTAGTTATTGGCATAAATTACATTATTACCTTAAAACGACAACTAATTTAAAACAAAAAAAAGCTCTAAAACGACAACTATTCGAAAACGGAGGGAGTAATGAGTTACAGAATTAAGACATTGTTGGTGTCGGATCCCGCACCAAAGGTCCAGGACCAACCAAAGATTGCCACGTAGTCAGGGCAACGGCCCATAAAGGATAAAGCCATTATACCCACAAGACAAAAGAACAGTCGAAGTGGTTATTACCATAAGGAGAATTCGAAGTGACTGCACCTCGACACGAGTCCGGAGACGAAGTCATGGTTAAGTCAGTCCAAGGACATTTGGGCCAAAAGGCGAGGCCCATGAAGATCAGAATCAACTCAAATTCAAACGTTAAGCATTAAAAGCAAAGATCAAAACGGACACATTTAAGAGAGAATAATTGTACTTAATTAGCCACTTAAATGTCGTTTTTCTATGTATAAATATAAAGGCCAATGGCCATGTATAGCATATATCTCTCTCTGGAGTAAGAAATACTATAGCAATTTTTGTAGCAATTCATAAGCTTTTTACATATTTATTTTTTGTCCCTCAAGAGTAATCTTTCCTACTTAATAAAATACTTGAGTGTGTGAATCCGACATCCACATTTTGGCGCCGCCTGTGGGGAAGAGAGGATTCTTGAGTGGTCAGATTTTTCCTTACTACATTTCCGAGATAAGCAGCAATGTCCGGAGGAGACGCCGTTGAGTCATCATTGGCCGAGACCCTCAAAGCTATGCAGCAAACCATGTCGGACATATCACAAAAGTTCTCGGATGTGGAAAAGGCCGTCGACACATTACAAACATCCCAGGTATCTCTTAGTCAAAACATCAGTACTATACAAACTCGTGTTCGTTCTCTAAGTGCAGGAAACCCTGTGGGTATCCGAAGAAGGATACTCAACTCGCCAAGTTCCGCTGCGCGAAATGAAACCAGCGGACAAACAACTCCTGGTGCTACTAATAATGTAGTTCAGCCATTGGAGGAAGAGACACAGCTTGAAGATGAAGTTCAACTTGCAGATCAATACGAGCAGGAAAACCTCGACCAGTTCGAGACTATGAGGAAGGTTAGCCAAGAACTAAAAGAAATGAAGTCAAAGTTCCATCAGGCCACAAGTTCGGAGCCGGATATCAATCGAGTCATTGAAGAAGCTAGGCGGACACCTTTCGTTCCGCGAATCGCAAGTTTAAGAATCAAAGATTCTCGGAAGCTCAAGTTGGACCCTTACAGCGGATTAGAAGATCCGAAGAGCTATCTCGCAGCTTTCCTGATAGCTGCCGGAAGAGTCGAATTGGATGAAGCTGATGAGGATGCAGGGTACTGCAAGCTCTTTTCGGAAAATCTATATGGCCAAGCTCTAATGTGGTTCACCCAATTAGAGCCGGGTTCGATCAGCAATTTCGACGAACTATCAGCTGTGTTCTTAAAACAATATTCCATCCTTATGGACAAAAGTGTTTCGGATGCCGATCTTTGGAACCTGTCACAAGGGTCAAATGAGTCACTTCGAGTTTTCATCACCAAGTTCAAAGGAGTGCTGTCAAAGCTCCCAAGAATCTCGCAGCAGTCAGCCTTATCTGCCTTACGAAAAGGACTGCGACATGATTCAAAGTTTAAATAAGATTTAATACTTCATAAACCAGACACAATTCAGGATGCACTCTTCCGCGCAAACAACTGGATGGAAGTAGAGGACAAAAAAGAAAATTTCGCCAAAAGGAATAAGCAAGAAAAGCCGGCAATTACCGTCCCTACCAAGAAGTTCGAGCCTAGGGAAAGCAAAGGACCAAGGAAATTTGGGTCGCAACCCTTTAATGGTGCCGTCGGAAAGCAATTCCAAGGGAAAGGAAGGTCAAACACTTGGGTCCATGATGAAAGTTTATATTGCGACATTCATAAAGTAACTGGACATTTAACCAAGGATTGTAGTGTCCTTAAAAGGCACCTCGCGGAGCTTTGGGCTAGTGGAGATCTTTCCAAATTCGATATAAAAGATTTTGTGAAGGAATATCACGGAGCAAAAGAAAATTCCAAAGATCAAGAGTCCAAAAGACCAAGGTTAGCCAACGAGGAAGAACCAAGGAGTTCGAAGGGTAAGATCAATGTTATTCTAGGAGGTTCCAAATTTTGTCGAGATTCTATAAGTTCCATCAAAAAACATAGGCGAAATGTTTTACTCAAAGCAAGTTTGAGTGAAGAAGTCGATTTTCAAGGTGCATCAATATCATTTGACGAAGAAGAAACACGGCACCTCGAGAGACCTCATGATGATGCATTAGTCATTACCCTGGACGTTGCCAACTTTGAAGTATCAAGGATTCTTATCGATACGGGTAGTTCGGTCGATCTAATCTTTTTAAGTACTTTGGAAAGGATGGGAATTAGTCGGGCAGACATTATAGGGCCTCCATCTCCGTTAGTGGCATTCACAAGTGAATCAGCCATGTCCCTCGGAACAATCAAACTACCAGTCCTTGCTAAACGGGTGTCAAAGATCGTGGATTTTGTTGTCTTTGATAAGCCCGCGGCTTACAACATCATCCTCGGAACTCCCTGGATTTATCAAATGAAAGTGGTCCCCTCTACATATCATCAATGTATCAAATTTCCAACATCAAGTGGAGTGGAAACAATTCGGGGATATCAAGAAGCTTCACGGACGTGTTATCTAGCTAGCCACCGTATGAAGATTCAATAGCAATTAACGAAGCCCGCAAAAGAGGGACTAAGATCAAAATTTCCTAGCGGACAGAAAAAAGATGATGTAGTAATCGAAGTGGTATTAGAAGAAGACAAACCGGACCGGAAAATTCGAATTGGGGCAACTTTGACTGGCCAAATAAAAGAAGCTTTGATCGAACTCTTGAGAAAAAACAAAACATCGTTTGCGTGGTCAGCGGCGGACATGCCTGGCATAGATCCAAGTATAATTTGTCATGAACTAAACGTGGATCCGAGCTTCAAGCCGGTGAAACAAAAAAGAAGAAAGCTCGGAGTGGAGCGAGCAAAAATAGTAAATGACGAAGTGGATAAACTTTTGAAGATAGGGTCCATAAGAGAAGTGCAATACCCGGAATGGGTAGCAAACACTGTCATTGTCAAAAAGAAGAATGGAAAAGATAGGGTTTGCATCGACTTCACAGACCTCAATAAAGCATGTCCCAAAGACAGTTTCCCGCTCCCACATATAGATCGACTTGTAGAGTCCACCGCTGGCAACGAGCTGTTAACATTCATAGACGCCTTCTCGGGTTATAATCAAATAATGATGAACCCCGAAGACCAAGAAAAAACGTCATTTATCACTAATAGAGGTATCTATTGTTACAAGGTAATGCCTTTTGGTTTGAAAAATGCAGGAGCAACTTATCAACGGTTGGTTAACAAAATGTTCCACAATCATCTCGGGAAGACAATGGAAGTCTACATAGATGATATGTTGGTTAAATCGTTAAGAAAAGAAGATCACGTTAAGCATTTAGAGGAATGTTTTGATATTCTCAATAAATATCAAATGAAGCTGAACCCGGCAAAGTGCACATTCGGAGTCCCATCCGGAGAATTTCTTGGCTATATTGTGACAGAAAGAGGGATTGAGGCCAATCCAAATCAAATTAACGCCTTTCTAAACATGCCATCTCCAAGACACTTCAAGGAAGTACAATGGTTGACTGGGCGGATTGCGGCTTTGAATCGCTTTATCTCGAGATCAACAGATAAGTCATTGCCTTTCTATCAAATTCTAAAAGGAAACAAAGGATTCCTTTGGGATGAGAAATGTGAAGAAGCTTTTGGGCAGCTTAAGGCATACTTAAGGCATACTTAACCACTCCACCTATATTGTCCAAAC